AAAAGCAGTCAGACAAAAGAGAACTAGTGGAGGTGCTATGGCACCTCTACTTCCTCTAGTGTAGAAAAGCATGGATGTCAGTCTGTGTCTTAAGAGTGAGCCAAAGGCACTGGTAGCCTGGCAAAATTTTATCAGTCTTCTGCTGGCTGTTTTTCTACTGTTAATATGCCCAGAGTTCTCTTTACCTTTCCTAATCCTAATCCAGATAAACACAACACTTGAAACATTTTCTCTTCTTTTACATGACTCCCAGGTAAGAATGAAGAAAACTACTAGCTATTGAATATTCCCCATGTACTAGGCTCTATAAAAGATTCTTTTATATATACAACTTAATAAATTTTCATAGCATTTTGGTGGGTAGGTGGTATTGCCATTTTATTGAGACTAAGAGAATGTTAAATAACACACACACACATATACATATACATATACATATACATATACATATACATATATAATATACATAGTAAATATAACTAAGGGTTGGAGAAATGGCTGTGTTGATAGAGACTTGACTAGCTCTGGGTTTCATGCCCTGTACTGCACTAAAATGGTGGTGGTGCTGATGGTGGTGGCAGCGATATAAATGTAAGTTAAAGATGGTTTAATAATCAGTACCTTATTGTGTTCTTAGAGATGTATTTAATTCTCAATACTCACATCTGAAGGATTAGGCCAGTCCCACTAGCCTACTTCTTTCTCCATCTGTTGTAGAAAACAAAGGCATGCCTACATGATAGCATACAGTGTTTTTTTTAAATTGATATTTGAGAAACTCTATCTTCCTCTTTGGATACCTGAAAGTTGGAGAGTATTTGTTTTTTCATTTTTGTAATTAACAAAGTAACAACCTAACATTTTTCTCTTTGTACAACCTAACATTTTTTAAAATTTCTTGTTCACAATTGTAGACCTGTGAATTCAGTCAAATATGTTTTTTATTTTATAAAGTAAATCTTTTTATATCCTGAGCATGTCTGGCAGTCATGGCATAGCAGAATGGTTCATACAGAGCACTCTCAAGTACAAGACTCCAGTTAAGACTTTACTACTTATCTCAGGGTTTTATTGCTGTGAAGAGACACCATGACTCTTACAAAGGAAAACATTTAATCAGGGCTGGCTTGCAGTTCAGAGATTTAGTCCATTATCATCATGCCAGGAAGCATGGTGGCATGCAGGCAGGCATGGTATTGGAGAAGTAGCTGAGAGTTCTACATCTGGATCGGTAGGCAGCAGAAGGAGAGAGTGGGCTACAGGGCCTGGCTTGAGCTTCTGAAACCTCAAAGCCCACCCCCAGTGATATACTTCCTCCAACAAGCCACACCTACTCCAACAAGGCCACACCTCCAATAATGCCACTCCCTATGAGCCTATGGGGGCCATTTTCATTCAAAACACCATACCACTGATCACTTGCTTTCCAGCAGACCAGAAAATAACACTTCTAGTTACTGCACTATGGCTTTGGGACCATTGCTGGCCCTTTCCCTTATTCCATGCTCAATGCAAATGAGTTAGAGAGTACCATACTCAAACATAAGATTCTGACATAAGGATTCTTTTGAGCTAGTTGTGAAAGGCAGACATGAGACAAACTCCTTACCTAAAAGTAGAGCATAAATGCCCCTTGTGAAGCTGTTCCTTCCATTCCCCATACCAGGAAGGAGCTAGCAGCCTTAGGGACGGAGATGAGAATGACATGGACCGTCTACAATATGGAGTGTATTCAAAGGCCTTTTAAGTAATACTTATCCATGTTAGTTTCTCCATTTATTTGTCATCCTGCAATTTGTCACCCTAGAAGCTCAATGTGCTTTTTCTTTGCCGTGTTATTTCTCTGAACAAATATTGCTCTTTATTAAAGTGCTATGCAAGTGAGGATCTGCCACTTCTCCAAATGCCTTATTCCTCAGTGCCTCCATGTGTGGGCACTCTGCAGGTGTTGAACTTGGATTATTGCCCTGCCTATGGTCAGATTTATTTGCAGAACTCCAGCAGAGAAGCTAGGTGGATAAAGAAAGATTGTCCTCTTTTGTGGATGATTTATCCAAACTCCCTTGTTATCATGAAGATATTTCTTAGAATTAAAAAAAAGAAGAAAAACCCCTCTATTATGGTAATGTAAGAAAATTTGAGAAATCATGTATTATGAACTAGTTAACACAGAAGTTGCTATTCCAATTTTTTGAACATCTATATAAGTCAAATCTTTTTCTTAAGAAAATGTTCTGTGTTTTGTTACTGGCTTACTTGAGCAGTAAGTAAGGTATTGTGAGCTTGGAAGACAGAAGAAGAAATTCTGAGGTGACTGTAGCTCTTCTATTGCTTTAAAAATTCCCAGAATCCATGCTTCCACTTCCCCGAATGACATCCTAGAATAGTTATTTTTCTTAATATGGACAAAGATTCTGTCTGAAAGGACAACTGAAAATGGGAATGAGACAAAATATAAGCTGAAGGCATGCACAGTGGGCTTCTGAGGAGCAGCATGGTAGGGAAATTGGGGAAACTGAGATCTATGACCATCTGTTAGAATGACTCTTACGTAGTTGTTATCAAATGTACCAAAATATTTTAACTACTTTTTCTTGCTGATACTAAATTTTAATTATTGAATTTACTACTTAAAATTTACTTTGTAAGCATCAGAGCCAAACCATTGAGTTCTGCAATGATTTAATTCATTTTTACTTTTTTTTTTTTTTTTTACTAGAATCCTTTTGGGAAAGAAGTTTATCATTTCTAGTTTATATGGGAAAAACTTAAATGTCTGAAGTGTTCTTTGATACCAAGTCATTTGAGTTGAAATATCTCCGTACTCTTTATAAAAAAGATTAGATGAATTATTATAAACTGGCATGGTGGCATACATCTATTATTCTAGAACATGAAGGCAGAGGCAAGAGGACCAGAAGGTCAAGGCCAGCATACACACAGAGAGCGTTCAAGGCTAATCTGGGATATGTAAGACCCTCTTTGCACTGGGCGGTGGTGGCACACGCCTTTAATCCCAGCACTCAGGAGGCAGAGCCAGGTGGATCTCTGTGAGTTCGAGGCCAGCCTGGTCTACAGAGTGAGATCCAGTACAGGCACCAAAACTACACAGAGAAAACCTGTCTCAAAAAACCAAAAGAAAAGAACCTCTTTGCAAGAAAATTCCTGTAAGCTAAGAAGTTACTAAATTCTTCTTTCCTCTGCAAGCCTGAGTGTTCTGGGTTCTGAATTGTTTATGACAATGTTTTTCACAGTCACGTTCAGTAGCACTGTCTTACTTTTTTTCAGGCACATAGGTGTAGATATGGTAAAAATAAGACACCCGTGTGTGTGTGTGTGTGTGTGTGTGTGTGTGTGTGTGTGTGTGTGTAGAATGAAAGACTGAGAACTTCTTCCTTAGTCTGCCCCATTCTAAGGCAACCTAGTAAAGGTTTCCTCTAAACCTTAGGAACTAAAATACACACACACAGCACACAAGCACGCACACACCACACACACACACACACACACACACACACACACACACACACACACACACCACATACACTAGATCCAATAATTTTCATGGTAAAAATTGTACTTTATAAAAGTTTTTCTGTTTTTTAATCTGTATTTTTATTATTTAATTTTTGAGATTATAGCTCAATTATACCATTTCCCATTTCCTTTTCCTTCCCACATACCTCTCCTTCCTCTCTTTCAAATTCATGGTATCTTTTTTTCATTAATTGTTACATACATATATGATTATGTTAAAAAAAAAAAAAAGAAGAACCTTGTAAATGTCAGGCAAGTGTTCTACCACAGAATTATATCCTCAGCCCTTGGTTTTTGAGTCAGAGTTTTGCTATGTAGCTCAGGCTGGCCTTGAATTTGTGATCCTCCTGCTTCTCAAGTGCTAGAATTATAGGTGTGTATCACCATTCCAGATGGAATCTTAAGGTTTGTTTTGTTTTTTGTTTTTAGTTTTTTTTTGCTTGAGATTCTGGGAATAAATGAAACAACATTCTGTTGAAGGAGGCAATAGATCCCTTCTTATTTCCCTGTAATCCCATTACTATATTTATTCTCCCTCTTTTATTTGGATTACAAGTACATGTCAGTAAGTAAGTTTGTATTTGATTGCTTCCATATTTGCAGCTCTTGTGTGATAGGCTGGCCTCAAACTCAGAGATCTGCCTGTCTCTGCTTCCTGAGTGCTAGGATTACAGGCCTGGCTTGGAGATTTACAAATTTTAAACCATGGTTAAACCTAATGTTAGCAGCCTCTTTAGGGGAGAATTTATTTGATCAGAGATGGTCAAAGCTATATTTTGTTTTGTCTAATAAAACATCAGAATTAAATTACTGTTTTAAACTTCTGTTTATCAAGGTCTGTGGCATATGAAAGCTATTTTAAGAATTTCAACTTTAATAGTTTCTAAATAGTACTCTTAGTATTTACTTACACTGTAGGTTTTTGTGTTTTAGCATATTACATGTATGTAAATGTGACCAGCCTTCCCAGTGTGTTGTATTGTAACACTGCAATTACAAAAAGTCACAGCGTTTTCCTAAACTCTTCAGCTTGAGGGTGTGTCACTAACTGAATGCTGGTGCATGCTCCTCTGTTCATAGTCTGTCATTTTACCCCAACACTGATCTTGTCTGGAGATTTGGGTAACGTGACAGGACTGGAGCTTCCCACTTTAAACGCACAGAATAAGATCAGATTTCTATCTGTTCTTGTTAGAAAGCAAAAGTGAATAGGGAGGGTCAGCCTTTTGGCTGTCTGTCTGTCTGTGAGCACCACATGTAAGGAGAAGCCAGTTCATCTGTGTGTTTGGGATTCAACAGCATAAACTGTCAGACTAACACTGATTGAAGGTAGACTGGGAAGGGGAAGCCTATCTGTCCAATGGCTCGCCATTGGCTTCTTATTACAGCATTCTCCCCTGAGACTCACTCTGCATGCTCATTCACCTACCTCCCCCTTCTGCTCGCTCCCCTTCCTTTCTTACCCCTTCATTACTGATTCACAGCTAGAGGCAGCACGGTGGCAGCAGCAGCAGTAACCGGGCAGCAGCAGCAGCAGCAGCGACAGCCACAGCAGCAGGGCTGCTTGTCAGGAATCACGGATTGCAATGAGCTCATCCTTTTCTCCTTGCAGCTTCACAACTGCCCTGGCTTCCTGGCTACTGCTACTGCCGCCTGCTCATACACAGATCTCTCTCTCTCTCTCTCTCTCTCTCTCTCTCTCTCTCTCTCTCTCTCTCTCTCTCACACACACACACACACACACACACACACACACACACACACACCCCGAGTCACACAGTCACACATGCTAGAGCCCTCTGAGCAGCTTGTCCATCTTTACACATGCATCTGAACTCTTCCTGCTCCGCTCCTGGCCATTTTTCCAGGATTCAGTTGCTTTTACCATTTTTTATTTACATCAGCCTTTGATTTCATTCGCCAGTCTACTCCAGGGCTTATGCATAGTTGATAATTTAGCCAAAATGTTTTTCTTGTGGCGACATTAGCTGACAGTTCCCATCGTAGACCATCTTGTGCATCCTCCTGGGGAGACGTAGCCTGGCTCCCCTCTCTCTGCAGTTGTTAGGATTGTGGATGAGAGATCCAGCTTCCTCATTCTGGATACCTATTTATTGCTCATGGAAGAAGGGGTACCCTGCCCAGCCCCAGCTGCTAAGCTTACACCTCCTGTCAGAAAGTCCCAGGACATGCACGACGAGAGGAGCAAGCTGGTGAATGAGTATGCATGCCGAGTGCTGGAACTTCTGGGGATGGGGCATCGGCTGTTTGTGCCCAGGCTTCTGGCGGTGAGACTGTTTTTTCATTGAACTTAATTTGTAGAGAATTTATGTAGTCCTCTGTGAGAATGTCACTCTGGAGGCTTGTGGGTTCCTGTTTTCTTCCCTTTCAACCTTTTCTACTGAGAAGGAAGGGCTGAGTGGCCACTGCTGTGTAGCTTCCTTGAAGCCTGGACCATGCCACTCCTTAATTGGCTATAGGAAATTATGGCTATTTTCTCAGAGTCCGGGGTCATATCAGTGACATTATCTCTGTGGCAAGGGGAACAAACAGATTTTCAGGCTGCTAGGCTTAGCAATGAAGCAGAAATTTCCAAAACTTGATGTGGGTATTCTGTTATCTATGTCCCCAAAGGGTTAAATTTTACAACAGAAATAGCCATCTATCCAGACGATGTGTGGCTGGCTTCTCCCCTCCTCGCCCCCCCCCCCCCGCCCCCCCAACATGATTGCCAATTAGATTTGGGCAATGGGGATTTATTACCTAAAAATCCTTGAGTAGGAAATTGCAGGTTTCTCTCCTGGGGTGATTGAACTGTGTGTCTTTAAAACAGCATACAGCTACTGGATCTGTTCTGTGAGTCTTAGAAGTCGGGCTTGTTTGTTATTTGATTTCCTGAACAAGAGAAAAAAAATCATCCTTCCTTATTTCCTACCAAGGGTTAAAGTTAAATACCCACAATCGCTGTGGCAGGGTTTCTCTTCAGTGGTTCCAGAGCTGTGCCTAGCAACTGTTGGGTGATATAATTGGTCCACAATAGTCCTATACCATCATTTGATAATTGAAAAAAATAACCCAGCTTTGTCTGTTTTATAGGATGGAGTTTTAATGCTATTCCAGATTTATAAGATTCTCTTAGATGCATATCTTTTTGGTACAGTGTTTATTAGACTGTATTTAATTCTCACTTCTCTTCCTCCATTTCTTCTGTCTGATCATAACAGACATTCTGTAGCCATGTGTATAAGAAATTTCCTACTATGAAAAAAGTCTGTTCATTGCAAGATGAAGTTAGGTATGATGAGCAGTATACAATTATAGGGAGGTTATTTGAAAAAATTAACAATTCCTTTTCCATATAGGGCAGAATTTTTACAAAGCTGATTACATATGTTTTAATGCCTAGGTGAAACCATTGCTTTCCTAATTCACAGTTTAATTTACAAGAGAGAAAACTGAAAGATCATAATTCTGTTAGAAATGAGTTTTGTTTTATTTTTAAGTTCAGAAATTTTGACACTAGGAATTGCTAATATACATTTAAACAAATTCCTCTTTTCTCTGAATGTAACAAATTCCCATATCTTAAAGACTACTTAACCACCACTTGAGGGCTTCTATTGGTAACTTCACAGTCATCTGGTGTAGCCTGTTTGACATTTACGTTTTCCATGTTTTGAAGTAAAACAAGAATTGGTAGCTACGAAGATGTCTCACATTCATATCTGTACTAGAGATATATTTAAAGTTCTAGTTAAAAACATTTAATTAACAATAAAATCCACAGGGAGTTGGGCTCCCAAACTTGAGATCTTAGTGAGGTTACATATGTCACAACTGGACAAATCTGGTTGCCAAATGAGGTATCTCAAGTAAGTGCTTCCCTCAGGATTTTTTGGACTGTACATTTTAGAGCCTAGACAATAATGCTAACTGTATGGCATGTGACCAGCATATGCTGAGCTGTGTCTGTAGCCATTTGGAAATCTCTGGCCTTATTGTACACTGTTATCCTTGAAAGATTGTTGATAGAATCTTGGTTATATGTGGTTTATATTTGGGAAGTCCTTTAATTAACGTAACATGGTGGCTGTGAATTGGGATCTGCTATCCAAGGAGTTACCACTAGCTTATATACTGGGGAATGGGTAAGTGGGTTCAGGTCTTCAACATATGTTATTGGACTGACTGATGGTTCAGGATTAATGGCTGGTCAGCATAGGGTTGTCCTAAGAGGTATTCTGCCACATGCAGTATCTTTATCTTTCCATTTCCAGTCAAGAGGACAAGACTGAAGTTTAAAACATGACTGCCTTTTTAGTCATGTTTTAAACATGAATACATATAAACATTACAGATCCCCTTTTTTACTTTAAAGTTTCACTGAATTTCTTTATTATAAATAATTTTTTTTTAAAAGTCAACGCCAGACATAGCTATGCTTGCCTGTGATCCAGGCACTCAAGAGACTGAGGCCAAAGGTCAGCTTGTGCTATATAGTGAGCTCCAGGCCAACCTATGCTGCAAAGTGTTTTATTTAAAAACAGAAACAAAACCAAGCAAGTATGATGATTCATCCAATCAGAGTTGCTGATTTGAGCACTGAGCTTTATTTATTGTTCCTAATTCACAGAGAGACCATCAGAGAACTAGAACATGAAGCTTGTGTGACTCTAAGAGACCATTGATTGAACTGGGGATACACATTTAGAATCTGTTTCTTGCCCTCAAAGGTACAGACTGTAAAGAACAATTCCCCTTGATAGATCAGATATAAGTACTTTGTTTTAGATATTAACACAATGCATCAGCTCCATGTGATGACTTAGCAAACATGTTTCTTTATTGGAATTAAAATACCCAAACAGCTGTAAACACCTTATACATAGCTAAACATTTTCCTCTTCTAAAGACTCTTAGAAGGGGGAGGGTAAATAGAAATGCTAGTGGACATCATAACTGAAAGAAAAAAAGACTATTTAGAGTAAAAATAGTGCAGATGAGAAGAGAATCATGCAAGTTTTCCCCCTAAATACTTACCTAGAACTTGTGACTAACTAGAGACCCTGAGTAAAATTTACTCATCCAAGAGTACTTAGAAGTTTAGAATAGAAACATCTGGAACTAAAACTCGGATGTTCAAACTATTTCCACCCAATTTGTTTCTTTAAAAAAAAAAAAAGAAGCCGGGCGGTGGTGGCGCACGCATTTAATCCCAGCACTCGGGAGGCAGAGCCAGGCGGATCTCTGTGAGTTCGAGGCCAGCCTAGGCTACCAAGTGAGTTCCAGGAAAAGGCACAAAGCTACACAGAGAAACCCTGTCTCGAAAAACCAAAAAAAAAAAAAAAAAAAAAGAAAGGAAAGAAAGAAAAGTCACTTGAAAATGTGTTATTCTAACACTGAATTTTTCAGTGGGAAAACACATTCAAAGTGGTGTCAGCATTGGCTCATGGCCAGAGGTTGTGTGCTGCAAGTGAACTTTGGCAGGGAGAAGAAACGCTTTTACTCTCTTCACAGTCAGAATTCTTTTCCCTCTAGGGTTTGTCTTTTTGCAATCATGTGACATGAGAAGTTATAATCATGTCATTATATATTAAAATTACTGTCAACTGTAGTTTCAATACTGATCTCATGCATATTTCCACAGTGAGTTCAAAGGACTACGAGTAAGATTGAGAGGGGTATGCGTGTGTGCGCTTGCACACGCCTTAAAGAAAATATTCTAGGTGCCCATTTAGTTACCATTGCTATATTTCATTTTGATGAAATTTCTTATGGTCTCAAAATATGCCTTAGTATGTTCTTAGTTTGTGGGCTTTTCTGAAATATTTGTGTTAAGCAAAAGTAAAAGACTACTGGAGACAGGATGTCTCCTCTTTTTACCCCTATCTCTAACATCCATAAAGATTGCTCACTGAAGAGAGATTATAACTTTTTTAAAAGTTAAAGAACCAAATATAGAAGGTGGCATATGTATGCCCTTCAAATATCCCAAATCATTTTTATATCAAAATAAGTCAAAAATCAGTTCCCTAGTTGGTGCTGTGTAAATTTTGGTTCTTACCCCTGAGTCTGTTAGACCTAGAGCCTTTATGAATCTATAGACAACATTTATGTTGATGTCTGTTGTGTGCCAGGCAATTTCATTTCTATCTCTGAGACAACTGCAAAGAATATTATAGTAAAATCACCTCTTTCTTCTGGATATTTCTTTCTACCTACTTTAAAAGAAACCAAAGTAGAACTTGTATAAATGTCTTAATTATGCCAGCAGTCTTTGTATATAATTCTGTTCAAGTGAAGGAATGAGTGATGTTTCCTCTGCAGATATAATTGATAAACATGGTTCACCTTATTTGAAAAGATTTTTCAGAAAGCTTGGTAAGCGGAAGAGACATGTATTGGTAAAGCACTGATTTTTAGATGTTATACTTAAGTAGTTCTGGTTTTAAAAGTGGTTGAGTTTTCAATTTAAAAGTGAAGAAAATACATTTGCTTAAAAATCTCTAGTTCTTATCTGTCACTTAACAATGTTGGAGAAGTACTTGCCTTTTGAGAGTTTATTTTTTCCC